GGGACCTTGGACAACTCCTGAAGGGTCAGGAAGGACCAGGCTCAGCTTAAGTATCAGGAGGTCAAAGGGGCACATGCTAACTGTCATTCAGAGGAAAGGGAGAGGAGTGGAACCACAGGCAGTCTAGACTGACGCCTAGAGCCACCTCCCTGAGGAAGGGGAAGTCTCCTGGGAGAAAAGGGACCTGTCTGTGCCATGCACTGAGGCTTTGAGGCATCCCCTTTTCAATGTCTGCAGTGACCTTTGACTGTCTAGTGTGGACCTGAAGGCAGCTAAGGGGCAGCCACAAAGTTACATGGGTTCTGGGCTGCCCACTCTGCAGTTTCCATCATGATGCTGCCAGACCACCTTGCTGAGGATGACAGAGCCTTCCTTGAGAGGCACAGTGCTATTTCATCAGAGAAGAAACAGAGGCAGAACTGCTTGGGCCAAGAATGTTCTAGAATCTGGATGTTCTGCCTGTCTGCCAAGCACCCCAACCCACCCCAACAGCAGTGTGTCCCTCCCTGTCCCGATGCTTGCACAGTAGCTCGCCTGTCATGCCTAGTTAGCAACCCTACCCCCCAGCCCTAGGCTCGGTGTGGAGCTAGGTGTCTGGCACATGGTCAACACAAATAAGTTTCCTCAACATCTTCTCTAGATGGTGCCCAGCTGCACTTTCATGTTTTTAAATGTTTAAGTTGCCCTGGTCTTTGTTATTTCTTGCTCAGCATGCTGGAATGCTGTGCATTCCAGGCTCTGTACGCTGGTGCCCGGTTTGCTGAGTTGCTCTGAATACAGTGGGCAAGGGAAAGGAGGAGAGGGGAGGCCCACGGCAGACTGAAAGGGCAGGACAGAACTTGAGGGGGTGCAGCTGGTGTTCTGCACCCCCCCCCCACACACGCACATGGGTCCTTGATCCACAGCAACATGCTCACTACCCTGGGCTCCCGAGCCCACCTGGACAGAGCTGGCTAGCTTTGCTGGGAATAGGGTCCTTGGTCACCAATGGGCTGAGCTCATGATGCTGTCTCACAGCTAGGACAGAAGTAGGGCTGGTTGGCAGCCTCTGAAGCAGGCTTTAGGCTTTTCTTCTGTTCCCCACTCTCCCAAATGTGGGGTCCCCATATTCAGAACTGATTCTAAGGTCTGGGAACCTGGCCACTGGGTCCACCAGCCCTGGAAGAAGAGTGAAGGCCTAGGATCTTTCACTGATCACAGTTGTGCGGCTGTGGGGTTCTTAGCCTGCATCTTTGGATCCCTGATGGACTGTCAAACCCTGGATGGCAGATCTCTGTGGTCCTACTTAGAATCTAAAAACAGTGGATTTGATGTGTAAATGAATTCAGGGTGGCTCTGGTTCTCTTTCCTGTATTCCCGACTGGCTCTGGTCACTAACATCACTGTCAGGGTATTCTAGTGAATTGAAGAGGAAAAATCAGCTCTACAGGCCCCCAAGTGCTGTCTCCTACCCAGGGGCTACACATCATGGGCTCAGGACCCTGCTGAGTAGAAGCCAGCAATGAAGCAGGATTGGGGGGCACTAAATCCCTGTGTCTCAGCCAGAGTTACCAGTCTATTCCTTTGCCACCACCAGCCACTGGCAGCTGGGCCCACTCTTCCCCTCTACATATATTCTCAGACTCCAGATGCAACACCATAGCATCACCCAGGCCCAAGACAGCACGGAGGAGATCCACAGGCTGCTCTGGAATTGCCACTGGGGTGTGAAATAGACGCTTCCTCCCAGCACACTCCTGCAGGCCGGGAGGTTCCTAGGCAGGTCAGCACCTTGGCCAGCAGCAGCCCAAGGAGGGTGGATAGGCCCTATTCGCCTGAGGCAGCTCTTGGGACCTGGACTGCACCTGAAGAAAGGGGTTGAGGGTCCTGGCCCCATGTGGACCTTCAGATATGCCTATATTTCTTCACCAAAGCCAGGGCTGGACAGGGCCAGCAACAGACTCATTCTGCTTTAGGAAATGTTGCTCACTTTCTTGGTCTCATCTGCATCTGCAATTTCCTTGGATTGTTAAACTCTTCCCCACCTCTTTGCCCTGTCCCCTAATCATCCTTCAGAACTCATCCTGGATACTACCTCCTCAAACACTAATCTACCAGTTTAAACTAGGGCTCAAATAGGGCATGGTGGTACACACCTGCAATTCCAGCACTCAGAAGGCTGAGGCAGGAGGATTGTCACAATTTGGAGGCCAATCTAGGCTACAAAGTGATTTCAAGTCCAGCCTAAACTTCAAAGTAAAACCCTGTCTCAAAAAGAAAAAAAAAACCCAGGGCTCCTTTCCTTATCATGTACAGATGTACAGCAAAAGTGTACCACACTGAAGGGAATCGTTGGCATCCTAGACTTGTGTATCTGTGAAGCTGTCCCTCAACAAACGGAAGGGACACCTTTTCCTTATTTATATTAAGGTGTTCCAGGACCTATGAATGGCCTGGTTCCACAGTCTCTGTCCCCACAGCACCTAGTACTTGTCCAGTTGCTATACTGTCTCTTTATTTCTGCTTACCAACTGCCTGAGGCACTCATTAGACTGTAAGCGTGGATGAAGGAGGCACTGCTTTAACCTCGTTCACCACCGCGTACATGGATAGTGTGGCCACTTCAAGTGGATCTTGGTCATCATAAATATTTGTTGACTAAACAGAATGTGGAACATAGAATAAAATCTCAAGAATTAGCCTGACAGGAAGGAGGGAGGGAAACAAGGAAAGAAGAAAATGGCAAAAATATCTTGGGGGCTGGGGGTTTAGCTCAGCGGCATAAGCACCTGCCTTGCAAGCACACAGTCATGAGTTCGATCCCCGGTACCGATAAAAATGAAAAAGACAAAAAAAAAAAAATATATCTCTGGCCTGCAGGGGATACACCAAGCAGTTCTACGCATCAGTAGGTTGGACTTCTTTGCTCTTTCTGGAGGGTAGCTTCTATTATGGTTGGATCCAAAATGTTCCCCCAAAAGGCTCATGTGGAGCTTTCGGAGGGCAATTAGATCCTGGGGTGCTGACCTCATCACTGGATCCACCCAGGTGAGTTCACAGCTGAGTGTGCTCTTAGGAGGCGGGGTGTAGCTGGCGGAAGTGAGTTCCTGCAATTGCTCCTCTGAAGGGCGTGTCTTTCTGACCCCGTCTCCTTGCCGGCTAACATGAGGCGAGCAGCTTTGTCGAATCTTTCCACCATGATGCATCTGCCCTAGAGCCGACCGTGAACTGAAGCCTCTGAAACTGTGAGCCAGAATAAACCTCTCCTTTACATTGTGTGTTTCTGGCATTTGTCCCAGCAGGAAAGGTGCTAATACACACTCCAATAATAACAGTGATAATAATGGTACACTCATCCCTCAGTCTCTCTAAGGAATTGGTTCTAGAGCCCTACCAGGTGTCAGAATCCATAGATATTCAAGTCCAATCCTAAGCTTTATGTAAACTGGCACAGTGCTTGTGTATAATCCGTGCAAATCCTGCTATAAATTTTAAGTCATCTCTATATTTCTCAAAATAGCTAACATAGGCTAATGTCTACATAAATAGGTGTTATACAAAAAAATAGGTGCTATATAGTATTCTTTAAGGAGTTAGGATAAGAAAAAAGTCTGCTCAGAAAACATGTTCAGTATGGAGGCAGCCATCAAAGGCCTAAAAATGAGCTATGAAGTGAACGGTGCCCCCACTGAATGTGGAGGCAGACTGAGAATCTAGGAAGCAGCAGAAGGGTGTTACAGTACATGACCATACATCTTTCATCTAGCATGCTGCCCAGTGAGTTTTACTTTTTGGAACTTTCTAGAATAACCTCCCTAAATATTTTTGACCTGCAGCTGGTTGAAACTGCAGACACATGGAGGACCTGAAGACCTGAAGGGCCAGCTATGATAGCCACTGTGTTCCTACCTAGTGCTAAGCAGGTAAATCATCTCAATTCAGCTAGCATTCAGCTAGCAGAGAGGTCGGTGGGCAGGGTGGGGACTGGGACCTGGTATGTGTCACGTACTCAAGCCTGGGAGCTAACTGCTATGCTTTTCTGCCTCCTTAATAATTCTTCACACTGTGAAGCTGTCTGCACTTATTTTTCATTTGGAAACTGTAGTCACTGTCCCTCTGCTCAGTCTGATGCTGGGAATAGCCCTGCCCCACCCACCTTTGGGCTCTGCTTCAGGCCCCCTACAAAACCAACTCACTGAGCTGACTGCTGACTAGCAAAAGAAACACTCAGCAGGCCCAGGCCCAGGTCCAAGCTCAGGCACAGGCCCAGGTCCAGGAATGAGCCCTGGAGGGGAAGACAGGCTAAGCTGGCAGAAGCCAGAGAGGTACCCAGTCACCTCTTCCTGGATGTTAGACCAGATCTCTGAGATCAGCACTAACAGACATTTTGCTGATTCCTGAATCCCCAGTGCTTGACACACATGAGAGACTGGGGAGTATTTGCCACATGAATGAATGAATGAATGAATGAATGAATGAGTGAGTGAATGAATGAATGTTAGGTTTTCCCTACCATCCAAAAGAAGGCAGAGAGCTGGGGTTCTCACACCCCAAGGCTGAGGACAGTCTGAGACAACCAGTTCACCCTGGTTCAGAATGAAAGGCAGGAACAGGAGGTGAGGAGGTGAATAGGAGGCCTGGGCTCCTTCAGGGGAGAAAGAGGGACATACCAAATCACCAGTCAAGATAGACCTCTGATGCCTAGGCAGGAGTGTATGTGGGAGAGAAGGGTTCAGGAGCACCGGACAAGAACCCTAAAATCTACTAAAGAGTGGCTCTTCATAGACAGGAAGTCAGAGCAGTGGGCCAGGCAGCTGGGCAGAAGGGCTGGGCTGGCTGAGCTGTGGGGCTTGTCTTCCAGCCAGAGGCTCCGTCAAGGCTGGCCTGGAAGGCCTGCATGCTTCCTTGCTGTTCCATCCACCTGGCCTGTGAAACTCTGAAATGGGGTGTGGTGGGGTAGAGCAGGGGCCAGGTCCTGGGAGAGCTTCCCCACCTCCCTGGACCTTGACACCAGCACTCACTTGCTCTCCACGGACATGGGGTACATGAGGTCAATCCCCAGAAGGCTCCCACACCACTGTTGCAACAGTCTTCCCAGGAAATCAGCTCCATCAGGGGGTTGGCACACTGGAAAAGAAGCCAAGGACACCCGTGACTCCTTTCTTCTCTCCCTTGCCATGTACAGAGATGTCCCAAGAAAGTCCAAGACATAGAATGTAGCCCTCTCCTCTTCAGCCAGGGATGCCCCCAAGGCAGGGGAGAAGGGCTCAGTGAATGTACTGGAAGGAGGCAGAGAAAGCTGTGGTCCAGTCTGCCACACCCAACCTCATACCGGGTGGGGGCACAATCCAGACACACAGCCCACCCTGTGCAGACTGCCATCTTCTACGAAGAGTCCCAAAGGATGAGCTTTCCTCCCTCAACCTCCAGGGAAGTCAAGCGTGAGGACCCTCCCAGTGAGTGGGGCCCCAGTCTTGGGGATATCACAGATTGAAGGCCAGGGAGAATGAAGACTGGTCTCAGCAACCCAAGTCTGGTCTCAGCCCTGTTGTTGGGTGCCCGACTGTATCCCCATCAAGAACTGAGGGTACTTCTGGGAGAAAATGAGTATCTTTCATTTTGAAGCAGCAGGTCTTCAAGGTGCAACCTGCATTCACCAGTTCTGTGTTTCTGTGACCCTCGCTGAGACCAAATTCCTCACCAGATACCTAATGAGCCTGCTGTGGCTCAGCTTTTAGAGAACCCAGGATTTGGGGGGCCAAATATCTTGGCTGCCTTCGCCTGGGGATGTAGGTGACATCTCCTCTGCAGAGGGACTTCCTTGGTCCTCTTCTACTTGCTTGGCATTATAGGTACCAGGTTGCACCAGGGTAGGAGTAGGCCCAGCCTTTCTAACCTTAGGCACTTCTGTGGTCACAGTTTTTCCATCGGGGAAATGGGGGCCGCAGTCACACTTCCCAAGAACAAGTAGAAGAGAGAAAAGGGAAAGGCAGGGTGGGAAAATGGCTGTTCTGGAAGCCTCTAGGGCAAAGCGGGCACTGGCCTCTCACCTGTCCATTCACAGCGCCCAGGTAACACCGGCCCAGCGGCCCCTGACGCCTGGACACCACTTGAGGCGGTGACTGAGGGGGCTCTCCAGATCGAGCAGGGATGCTGTTGCTGTCCCAGTGTCTGTGCTGGGGACTGGCAGGGAGCCGGGGTGGAACTCTGGTCTCCACGCTGTTCTCCTCCAGGGCCCCGTCAGCCTCGCCCCGCACCCGTGCCACCTGGTGGATCTGCACAGAGGCTTCTGGTGGATGGTGGATGTGCACTTTCACCAAGGAGGGGTTCACGGAAGCTGGGCACAGGGGGCTGGGGTCAGAGTCAGGAAACAGGACCCCACCTCATTATCTCCCACCCAGCCCCAAGAGTACCCACAGCCCTGAACCAGGCAGGCTGGGTGTCTCTGCAAAACTCCCCTTCCATGTCTTGGCTACTTGGAACCCCAGAACAATTCTCCCTTGAGGAAAGGATGAAGGGCAAACTGCTTCTCTGAAGGACGCTCAGATACAAGTTTTAATTCCCTTACTGACTCCACCACCACCTGTGCTCCTGCACATCCCTGAACTCCAGCCACTGACCCCTGCCTCACTCCCCCGCAAAGCCCTTGCTCATGCCATTCCCCCCACACTGAGCCAAATGCTCCCTGCAGGTCATGGGCTGGTGGAAGGTTGTCCTCTCCACACAGCATTGCAGAGCACCCCGGGCCCGGAGACCCCTCCATCCGTTGCCTCCTGTAGCATTCTCTAATTCTTTTTTTTTTTTTTTTTTTTTTTTTGTATCCTTAATTTACCATTTACTGGTGAGAAAACGAGAGGCAGTGTTTTGTGTTGAAAGCTGTATGCCCAGGGCCATAGGCACCTGAGGGCAGGATGCTGGCCTCACACTGCTTTGTTTTTCCCAGCACAGGCCAAGGCAAAAACACACTGAGCCATTGAGCTGGAAGGGAAAAGAGAAGCTCAGGGGAAAGAGTGGAGCCCACCGCTGGACGGGAAAGAGGAGGTTTGCCATGAAGGCAGGGCGGGAGATGCTTCCCTGTCCCCACCCAGCACAGCAGGTGAAGTGCCCACCCTGCCTGGTGGCACTCACCGAGCTGGTTGGAGAGTGGCAGCATGAAGGTGGACTGCTGCACGGGGCCTTCCAGCGGGCCTCTGTGGCGGGAGCCTCTCTTGGGAGCCTCCCTGTCCGGCTGCGGAGCAGGCAGGTGGCAGAACTTCCCAGTGGAGTTGCTGGGGCACCAGCACTCATCCCGGCCAATGCAGCGGCCTCCATTCAGGCAAGGGATCTGGCAGAAATCTATGATATCAACCAAGGTGACCAATGATGGGAGAACAACAGTACCACCATGTGGCCAGCCAATGACAATAGAAAAGCACTCAATTGTGGGAGGCCTGGGGGGCGCCTAGCATCCCCTGAAAGGCAGAGACTTTTCATGAGGCTCTGGAGTGAAGCAGAGCAGATAATAATCAGCTCTGGTCATTCCAAAAATCCTTTTTCATGCCTCTCCCTGGCCCCACAATAACCCAGCACACGGGGCAGTAGCATCATTAACTCCCTCTTCACTTCTCAGTGTAGGTAACTTGGACTCAGAGAAGTATGTGACAGCCTGGAGATGACTCAGCTCTCTGTGTGGCTTGAGACAGAAGCAGGGGAAGGCTTCCTTCCTACAGAGGAGCTGGGCTCCAGTCCAGGGCAGGCCCACCCCTCCAGCCACCCTAACTCCCAGGACCGTCCAGAAGCATTTGTGGGGAAAGGGACTCACAGATGCGGAAGCCAGACTTGGGGTCATGTCCATGGCCACTCTGGCTGTACAGGGTGGTGGTGTCACCCCGCTCACAGCTGTTGGCGCAGCGTCCATGGGCACAGGTCTGCTTGCAGATGGTGGGAGTGAAGACAATCTTGATCTTCTTGATTTTCTCAGTGAGGTTCAGCCCTGCGGACAGAGGGCTTGGGTCCAGGGGGCAGGGCTGAGAGGCACAGCTGTGACCTCCAGAGCCTAGTAACAAAGGCCTATGGGACTAGGGATGTGGCCATTCCCAAGGCATCTGCAGGATACGTACAGGATGCCAGTCCAGATTGGGCAACACACTTTTTTTTTAAATCAGAAAAATCCTCACTATGTAGCCCAAGCTGGGCTGGAACTCTGTGATCCTCCTTCCTCGGCCTCCTGAGAGCTGTGATTACAGGTGTGTGTCACCACACCGGCCTGTAGGTAACACCTTTGAGATGCAACTTATGTGCTCACACTTTGCGCCATTAACTCTCAACCCTCCAGATGGGTATTATTTTAGGTTGCGCCCTCAGAAATTGCCATTTTTGTAGGTTAAAATGGCTGAGTATTAGCAATTTCATATGTCCAATGACAGCTGGGCTTTGAGCCCAGCGGCATAGGATGGAACGTGGCTCACATGGTCCCTAGAGGAGGGGTTCCTAAGAGAAGTGGAAGAAGAGAAAACTGAGGAATGATTACCGTCAGGTTCTGGGAGGCTTGATTACCAGAATAGGATCAGGTACCTTATTTGGTGCATGGTGGGGAAGCCACTGAAAAATTCCCAGCAAGACATCAAAGAGGAAGTGTGGGAGGAGTGATGTGCAGGGGAAGCAGGTGACCAGCTGAGAGGTCACTTCGTTGAGCAAGGGTGGTGGCAATGGAAATACAATGGAGGTCTATTCATTCAGTATGAGAAGGGAGGCCAGAGGCAGAGGGTTGAGGAGGGGATAGAGACCGAAAGTGGAGAAGCACAAGCAGACTGGATAAAGAGACTTTCCTGTGCACGGAGGGAGGAGGTGGAGAGGAGCTGGTTCCCAGTTTCTGCAAGTCTGGGGGCCTGGAGCAGCTGCTCTGAGGGAAGGGAGAGAGAATGCCCAGCAGACAGGGAAAGGGTGTAGGCAATGACAAAGTGCATGCTCTGGTGCAAATTCAGATATGCTGAGGTTTCTTCCTAGCAGGAGAAGCCCAGTGTTAACGCTACGGAAGCAGCTGGCTGGCCATCCAGGAGGAATGGGGTTAGCAGGCAGGATGAAGCGGAAGGGCCTGTACATGCAAGTTGAGGTTCAAAGTTGGATGTGAAGGAAGCAAAGGCAGGAGGGGATGACAGACAGGCAGAGGTACAGCAACCAGAGTCCCAGGGTCTCAACAGGGGCCAAGTTCAGATCAGCTAATCTGATATCCTCAGGGGTTGGCACAAAAGAAGGGCTCAAATACCCTTGGCTGAAAGAATGAGAGATAAGGTAACAACTCAACTCCTCCTGCAGAGTGGAGGAGGAGCAGAGGTAGGACAAGGAGTGGTCAGGATCTAGACGGCCTCCTCTTCTGGGTCCCAAGACAGTGCACCCTTACCCCAGGGGGATGAGAGGTAGTCCAGATGTGCTGCCTGCTGGGCACCATCCCTCTGCTCAAGTCCTGCAGGCAGAGCATTGGAAGTCAGCTGACCACTGGTGCCAGTGGCTGGGTAACGCCGGACAGTCCGGGACAGCCCCACATGCTGCTGGGAAGGGCGGGTCTGGCTGAGCGCGCTCAGGGTCCTGTGGAGACAACCACAGGGGTTTGAGTCCCAGAAGCATGTGTCTGTAGCCTCTCTCAGCTGGCCGCCACCTGCCTGTCCTTGTATTAGAACAATGCTTCAGTTTGGCTGACTTTAGGTCATGGAGGTTCGCTAAGACAGAAGGACAGAGATGAGGCTGGCCAGCCATCCCTGGGAGCACACCCTCCCCTGTATGCAATAGCCAGGCTTTTGATAGATTATGCTGGGTAAGTCATGCAGCCTCTCTGGCCCTCGACTGCAGAATGAAGGCATCAGCCTATCCCAGTGTAGCTCTGACATTCTGGGAGTCCACTCAGACAGACTCCACGCCTGGGTCAGCCCCTGCCCTGAAGCCAAGTCCTATGTCTTGAAGCCAAGTCCTAGGTCCTCCCCCAGCCTCCCAACTGGATTCTGCCACTTCTTAATATAGCCTGGTTACCTGTGGGGGCAGAGTCTAGAATCTTCATTTCATTTATTTTTGTTGTAAAAAAATAATATAAGAACAATTTTCAAGGAGAATGAATTCATCTTCCGCTTCAACAGGGCAAATACTTTTTGTCTATCTCCTTTCAACTTTTGCAATTGATGCCTATTGATACAATTTAAATTCTAATTTTTTTCACTTACCATTAAAGCACACTTTATACACGATTCTGCATTTTTTTCCTACTTATCATTTTCACCGCCCTATGACAGCTAATCTGCAGATGAATCACAACTTACTCATTTTCTGTTTTTAATTTTTAACTGCAGACATTCTTACACATATGATTTTTTTCCTTCTGTTAAACTATTCCATTAGTGGGATTCATTGTACTATTTTTTATTTTATTGAGCATGTTTGTATTTTTAAAATAACACACTTTTATTTATGGGAGGCTTCACTATACTATTTTATTCTGTATTTGATTTTTCATCATAAACATGCTGAAAAGGGTTATTACTTTAGGATTAACTCGGTTCTTTGGGCTACAACAATTGTATCAAAGGTTATAAATATTTATAGTTCTAATATACACTGGTGGATTGCTTTGTGAAAATCAAAACTGCATTAGAATGTATATATGTACCATGAAGTCTCATCAATATAACATATTTTTTGTACTTTATTAATAGAATAAGCAGAAAACATTATACTTAAATGTTGCTTTTAGCTCCCTTTTTGTTTGTGTTTCTTTGGTTTTTTGAAACAGAGTCTCACTATGTAGTTCAGGGTGACTTTGAACTCGATGTGTAGCCCAGGCTGGCCTCAAATTGATTGTGATCCTCCTGCTTCAGCCTCTTGAGTGCTAGGATTACAGGTGTGCACCACCACTCCTGGCTACTGCTCATGTCCTTTGACATCTTAATTATCTGAGTTATCATTTGAACAGATTCTCTTTATTCTATTATTGGATAGGCTATTCTACAAGGCAGCCTCTATTGTAAATACTGTGTCGTTCCAATGTGTACAAATCAGAACATTTCTACACTGAGCACAGTGGGCACTGAAGCTAAGCAGGGTTAAGAACTTGCCCAAGGTTACACAGCATCTAAACTGGGGCACGTAGGTGCCAACCAGGGGAGCCTGACTCCAAGGCCATGTTCTATGCGACCTGACACACCACTCAGACCTCAGTGGTGCTCCCACTCCCGCTAGGTTCCTTCCCCAGACTCCCAGTTGGATTCCTTGCCCAACTGGGATAAAGTCTTGGATTTTTCCTCTTCCCCACCACACTCCAGGGCAGTTGAGGGGTGGCAGCAGAGGTAAGCAGAGACTCAGAGGAGAAGGTGCAATAGCCCCTGGGGAAAGGTCTCGTTGATTATCAGCCATAGAACACCTGCAGCTGTTTTAGCCAAGAGCAGCAGTTCCCAGACTTACCCAGCACAAGAACAGAACTCGCTGTCTGTCTGTGTTTATTCCAGGGAATTTCTGGTGAAGCAGCCACAATTGACCAAAATAGCCATTGCTAGACTTTAGGATTTCATGGATGAGTATAATTTTGAAACAAATTTGGGGACTAACATAAAGTTGCCCGTGTTTTATTTAGACAAGGCTGCCCATTCATCATGATGGTCACTGAGACTGGATTAAGAAATGCCTAGTGGATTAGTAAAGCATGCTTCTGGATGTGTCTGGGTGGGTGGTGGACGCGTGACTTTGGATACTTTATCTGGCCCTTGGCTCCTCCCCCTCTGGAGCTGCTCCCATGTTCTGCTTCTCAGTTGCCATGAACTAAGCACCTTTGTTCTTCCATGTCCTTCTGCCGTGATGTTCCTACTTTGAGCCTACTGAGCATGAACTAAATCTTCCTAACCTGTAAGCCAAATCAGATCTCTCTATTAAGCAACGGGTGTCAGGTATTGTATCCTGTCAGTGGGGACGCTAACACAGTACGTAACACACACACACAAACATATACATGGCATTCATTACCAGAATAATTACATGAAAGACATTTCAATGTCAAAAAAAGAACTATTTAAAAAGTTTAACTTCAGAGACGTCTCCCTACAGTGAATTTCTTTTCTCTTCATGGACCATGAAAAGTTCATCAAAGACCAGCAGCAAGCCAAAGGCGAGCCACTGGATTCACTAAGTCCTGCTCTCACCTGAGAATTCCAGGACTATTTCAACCAGTTTAGGGAGAAAAAGTGCCCACCCCAACTATCTGTGAACTTTAGATCCACACTGTCTGGACGGTGTGTACCCACAATGATGCCATTCAAGCGTACAGGGTGTGCCCACTCCCCAGCCCCCAACACTAAGGTATTCAAACAATGACCCATCCCATCCACTGTCACTCCCACCTGACAGTTCCACTGGGTCTAATTTATAGAGCTAGAAAGAATTTGGACTACCAAATACTACTTTGATTTAATGAATCTTTCCTGTTAAAAGATAATTTTATGGGCTGGGGATTTAGCTCAGTGGCATAAGCACCTGCCTTTGCAAGCAGGCGGTCATGAGTTTGATCCCTGGTACTGATAAAAAAAAAAGATAATTTTTAAAATATCACTTTAAGATTCATAAAGCAGTTATCGTTACTATTGACTGAGCACTGAGACAAGTGCTTTAAATAGGTCATATTATCCACAGCACTTTAGTGAATGACAAAAATTAATTGCAGGATAATATGGATAGTATGCCTCCAGTTTTGTGTTTTAAGTTGATGCCATACACACTTGCACATGCATGAGAAAGATCTGGAAGGATCTGTAAACAGTAAGTGACCCTTAAGAATGAGAGTGCCTGTGTGTAAGTAATTATACTTTTTAAATGATACATTTCTATACTTTCAAAATTGTAAGCAATAAATATGCATCATACAGAACAAACATGTACTTATTTTATAATCAAAACAGATATTTTCCCCAGGAATTCCATTTTATGGACAAGGCAACTGAGGCTCAGAAACAGCAAAGTAAATACCTGTAAATAACATGGATCCTATAAATAACAGGGATCCAAGGTGGATAATGATGGCAGACAGAGGTACAGAGTTCAGAGGCAAGAAAAACCATATCCGGGAGGACTCCAGAAAGCTTCAGGAGGGAAGCAACTTTCAAGCTGCTGCTTAATGGACAGGTAGAGCTTCAAGAGCTCACAACAAGGAGAAGGAAGACCTTCCAGGTTAAAAAAAAAATAACCTAAGAAATGCACAGAGGTGGAAAGCATGGGCTATATTTAAAGAAGAATAAGGAGCATTATATGAATAAAACACAGGGTGGAAAGGAGGGAAAAGAAAGGAAATAATAGTAAGTTAGTGTCAACAGGTGGCAAGTATCATGATAACTTTCACATTTAATTACCTGATCAGAAAACTCTATGATCAGAAACTTCTGCTTGACTAAAACCATCATAAAGCAGTAAGACAAATAATCAGGTGGAAAAACTATGTGCAACATAGACAAAGATAAATGTCCATATTATCTAAAGAGTTCCCAGAAACAAAAGAATCGGAGACTAAGGACCCTAAAAGAAAAATCAGCAAAGGATATGAACAAACTTCACAGGGGAAAAAAAATCAAATGTTTCTCACACAGAAAAGTGTGCTCAACTTTTCTCTTTACAAGAGATGTACACATGAAAACTCTGGGATATCATGTTTTAATCAGACTAGTAAAACTTCAAGAGGTCACCAACATTTATTTGGTGAGACTGCAGGAACAGGCACTCTCAGATGTTGCTAGTGGGAGTGTAAATTGACACAACTCTTCTGGCAAGCAGTTTAGCAACCTGTACTCAGCACAACACATGGATGCTTTGGCCCTGCAGCTCTGCCTGCTGGACAAACCTGCTGTGGTAGGGCTGCTACTGCCCTGCTTGGGCCACCTTTGCAGCTAGACCCATCCCATCAGCTGCATTACTGTGTTTTACTCTGGGCTAATGGGAGCCACCTGAAACACCACCACCCTCTGCCCCGCTGCCCCATGACTATGTAGCCTAATGCTGCTGGACATGGAAGTTCAAAAGTCCCTAGTCCCTTGTCTCAAGGTGGGACAACATTGTCAGCTCCATTCAAAATCAGCACAAAGCTTGATTTTCATAAGTCTTCATCTTTGCTTGGCTGACTCCCTTAACACAAGCCCCTGCAAATTAAATACACCCAAATTTTCCATCTTAGGGACCTGATCTAAGACACTTGTAAATGTTTGGAATGATGCGTGAACAAAGGTTGTTCATAGCAACACTATTTCATAATAGCAAAATATTTTGCATAGAACAGAAACAGCCAAGGTGCCCTTCAGTGGAGGACTGGTTAAGCAAACGGATCCATGCACAGAAGGGCGCTGGGTGGTGTGGGAACGGAAGCTGCCCTTCAAGCCAGTCAGGAACACGCTCTCAGACAGATTGAAACATGCAAAATGAGAGCCCAAATCCCACCCCCACACACTGTTCTTATACAGACTGTGACCTAACAAGGATTTTTACACTTTTCAATGGTTGGAAAAAGTCAAAGAATAATATTTATTGACGTGAGAAAATAAAATAAAATTCAAATTTAAGTTTCCATGACT